GCAGTATCTGTGAATTGCACTACAGCGAAGCACAATAAAACAAGGTATGCCTGTACACCCAAAGCAAACTCTTGATTTCCTTTCCACAGACCCGCTCCTTCCCCAGGCTTTCCATGTCAGTGAATGGCACCACCACCCACCCACTTACTCAGGTCCTAAACATAGAATTTAGTCTTCTCCCTCTTTCCCTGCATCTCATCCATCAGCATATATAGCTCTATTTCCACAGATAATCTGAATCCAACCACTTCTTCTTGTCTCCACTGCTGCAGTCCTGTCCGTCACCTCTCTCCTGGAGAAAACATCCTAATAGGCAATCCTGCTTCCCATCTTGCCCCCGGAAGTCTATTCTCTCCCAGTGGAATAATCTTTCAAAAGGATAAATCAGATCATGTCGCTCCCCTGCTTAAAGCCCTCTAACGGAACATATTATCTGTAAATATTTATTCTCCCTCTCTCTGTCCTCTGTAAAAACCTAGAAACAACGACCAACCCAACAGCAATGAGCATCCCTAGCACCCAGTTTGTAGTTTTGAAACACCATTTCCCACTAAAAGTAACCAGGACTTTTAGAAATGGCTGATTCCAGGTCTGGGGCAAGAAATGTACAAAATGAGCCAGAAATATCTTGTCATAACAGAAAGCAAGAAACCTGTCAATGACTACTAGCGTCATGTCAAAAGGACTCTGAAGCCAAATCAAAGAGGTTCCCACTGACCAAAGATGGGACAATTTGAGATTAACAGAGATAATAATTGCAATTGATTGAAACCACCAAATATGCTACAATCCATGAGTTCGTAATGATGCTGAAAAATGTAATAATAGACCACTTTGAAGGGTGATAGGAAGCAAATTCATTATCTTAAACACTGCTAACTAAAAGGGGAAAATCAAGCATTTATCCTGCCTTTTCTATATGAACTCTACCACTGGTGAGCAAATAATAGATTAGAGGAAGCATCTCTTTATAGAAAGATTCCAACTAATAAATGAAAAAGAGATGATAGAATTAGAATATCATGTTGCACCCTCCAGTGAATTAACAGATAGAAGCATTATGTCTAAGAGGCTGCTAAGATCAGAGAAAGGCAACCAGACATCACTGTGCCCTCTGGTGAAAGAGCACACACTACCATCTTGAGTCTTGCCAAAGGGATCCAAACCTGTGTCTGCCCGAGTCTCTAGATCCAAGTGCTAATTTGCATGAAACAGGACTGAGGAACATGTTGAATGTTAGTCGAATGTTGAACATGCAGTCAGCAAAAACTTAGACTGTGGGAGGCTCTGCAGGTCAAACCTCCCAGGCTGCAATAGACACACTGTAAGGAAAAGAAGGGGATTAAGAGGGAATTTATAGATTAAAAGACTTAAAACACAAATCAAGGAACCGTTTAAAATAACAGACAAGACTAACATCTAAGGATGTATATTTGGGTTATAAAACTATAAAGACACAAAAGTAGAAAGTCAGAGTAGCGGTCACCTTTGGGAGGAGGAAGGTGGTTGGGGAGGGGGCAGAGTCCATGGAGGGCTCCTGGGTGGTTGCAAAGTTCAATTTCGAGAACTGGATGGTGGATACAAAGACGTTTGCTTTCTAATAATTAAGCTACACATTTGGCTTGGTTGACTTTTCTACATCTGTGTTTTATTACGTGATTTAGAAGAAAACAAGGATTTTTTTTTTTAATCGCAAATACAAGACTTGGCAAACATTTTTCAAAGGGTCAAACAGTATTTTAGATTTTGCAAGCCATGAGGCAAAATCGAGGATATTATGTAGTTACTTATATAACCATTTAAAATGTAACCATTTAAAAATGCATCAGGACAAACCCGAACAGTGCGACCCTCGAGGGTCCACTAATCCTTGAATTCCTGGTCCCAGGAGGCTCCCACCATTTGAGGCCCGCCATCCGCGCTCCCATGCCCTCGTCGAGTTCCTGCTGGCGCAGCTCCCCTCCCCCCCCGCCTCTGCTCCGCACAGCCTCCCCGTCTCTTAGCAACAGGCGCACGCAACCGCCACCCTCTCTCCCACCCAAGGCGGGGAGGGTAGAAGCAAGCACGCATGCGCACGAGGAGCTCCCGGCTCCACGTACCCGCTCTGGGAGAAAGGGGAGAACCCAGGGGCATCCAAGCCCTGAGGCCTGGCCCCAAGCAGAAGTCTGTGTCCTGACTCTTCCCACAAGTCTTCTACCACACCCTCGTCACTCAAGGTATGGTCTAGTAGACTAGGGACCGCAACAGCATCACATAGGAGCCTGCTTAGAAATATGCCAGAATTTCGACCTCACCCCCAGACCTACCGAATCAATGCATTTCTAACAGGATCCCCGGAGATCCCTACGCATATTAACGTTTGACAAGCGTTGCTTCCACAATCCAGATAAGGCAAAGCCATAAAAAATACATCAAACTAGGCACACCTCTTATAGGTTGAACTTTTAACCTAGAAACTAAGACAGTCTTTATGATTTATAAGAGGAAGTTCCCAAAGCTGAGTTCCCTGTGCTCAGTAAGGGTGAAAATTCCCTCGTGTCTCCTCTGACCGTTAGTCCAGGACGGAATGCGTCACTGACCTCAGGTTCCTGCTCTCAAAAACCGATGGGGAAATCAGGAAAGAGAATTTCCATTCCCAGAGTAAGGGTGTTTCTTATGTAAGGTGAACAGAGAGGGCTCAAAGAATGGGCACCTTGGACCTGCCAAGTAAGTCAAACAGCAGCATAAGGACAATCCCAGACCCAGGCAAGGGAGCACCCACACCTGGCTGAACAGCTCCCAGGAAACAGACTCTACTTGCATTTTAATCCCAAAAATGAAATTCCAGTGAATACTAAGACAGTGGATGAGTCCTCATGAGAGAAGTTGCCAGGTCAGTAACTTCCCAGTCTGGTGAGTTCTCTCCATATCCATCTATCTTGGGAAACTGCAGTCCTTAAGTTTAACTTCCTCATCAGATGACAGTGGCAAATCAGAATAGATGTCCCAATCCTAGAAGAACCACTTTGCTTCACTGGGAAATATTAAAAAGAGGAGACTGACCAGAGAACACCACATTTAAGGAAAAGAAAATGATCATTCTTTAATGGCAAGGACAAAATAATAATATGGGGAGAAAACCTTCTTCAAACAGAAAACAACTCAAAGGATGCATTTCTAAAAATCCATGATACATGCTACAACATGGATAAAGCTTGAAAACATTATGCTAAGTGAAAGAAGCCAGTCACAAAGGACCATATTTGGTATGATTCCATTTATATGAAATGTTCAGAATAGGCAAATGTATAGTCACAGAGAGTAGATTAGTGGTGGCCTAGGGCTGAGAGGGAGGGGGGATTGGCTGTTAATGGCTAAAGGGTACGGAGTTTCTTTTGGAGGTGATGAAAATGTTCTAGAAGTGATTATGGTGATGGATGACAACTCTGTGAATGTACTAAAAGCCACTGAATTGTATAGTTTAAATGGGTGAATTGTATGGTATGTGAATTATATTTCAATAAAGCTGTTTGAAAAAAAAATCCATGGCTCCACACTAGATCCACATTAGTCTGAAAACATGGAGTTCCTACTATAATGCAAATTCTTTCTGGGCAAAATCTGAAGAAGGAAAAAATAAAAGTTGATGTCAGTACTGGGTAGAAGCCCCTGCTAGATTCTCAAGCAAAACACTCCCATCTCAGTTTGGGGAAGAATTTCAGTCTTGTCTCAAGATCATCAGTCTCACAGAAATCCCCATCTAGCTTTAGGTTCCTGTTCCAGAAACACTGGAAAATCCAAAACAGGAAAAACACACTTTCAAAACACCTTTAATCTACGTGGGCAAGGGAAAAAACAAGAAATCACGGGATAGATGCTATGGGCTCTGTCAGAACACGAAGTTGAGAATTCTCTACTGCTATAGAAACAAGTCCGAAAAAGACTACACATTCCCAAGGAAACTGTGTTTCAAAAGTCCCTAAATAACATAACTCACAAAGATTGGTGGCCAAAGGGCCCACTTGGATGGCTGCGGCCTTGTAGGTGACCACACTGTCAACTTGGCGGCCCCTGTTGGGCTTTAACCTGGGCAAATTCTCTTCTCAACCTGTTTATTTCCCAAACCAAGAGCAGAGGGTATCACGAGAGGCCCCATGAGGACCCTGGCTACGCCCACAAGGGCCTGTGTTGGTCACAGCTGTCACGATGGGCAGAAAGACAGAAGCGGGATGTTGAACAGGTATCTCTCTTGCCCTAAAGCAAAACACACAAAACCCTACCGCACTGGGAGGCTTAGAGAGAGAAATCTCTGCAGCTATCAGCCAACAGCTTTGTCCTGCCCTGCCAACCTGGATTCTCTCTAATCCCCAGGCAAATTAAAAGACCAAATGTTATTAAGCAATTAATAATGGAGCAGATGCTGTTTGGCTTCTGTGTCTCTGCTAGACTCCTGCTCCAAAGTTCCTAAGCACACAATGGCCATTCCCAATGCCAAGGGCAAAGGGAACTGGTAAGTGCCTAGAACAGTGCCCGGCACATGGTAGGTATTCAATAAATATTTGTTGAATGCCTCTTGAATGAATGCTGGTATTACCTCCCTTGGCACTCTCAGCCTGGAAACACCACACACACACACACACACCCGAACTTGAATCCACTGTTCACTCTATCTGTAACGGTGCAAAATTAATACACATAATAATTACTGCTACAATATAGATTTCTGGAGGGCAGGGATTTTTGTTAATTTTGTTAATAATGTACCTTGTACTAATGTACAATGACCGGCACATAGTAGGCTCCCAATGAATATTTGTTTAATGCCAACTGAATTAAGGGCCTACTATGTGCCAGGCTGCAGTGCTAGGCGTCCCCTTCCCAATCACTTCCACCCAGGCGGCAGAAGCTGCCTTGAGTCCTCCTGTCGCCAGGGGCCGCTGTAGGAAGGGCTCGGCTTCCTTCCCACGTCACCTTCTATCCCCGCGGTACCCTTTGACCCCGTGAAGTCGCTGCCCCGAGCTACCATGGCGGCGTCGGTGGCGGCTGCAGCTGGGAGGCTGCGGCGGGCCATTCGAAGGTCGCGTCCGTGGTGGGGCCCCAGCCGTCGGCCTCTCTCGTCCGAGCCCCCTCCAGCCCGGGCCGCGGCCGTGCGGGACGCCTTCCTGAGCTTCTTTAGGGACTGCCATGGCCACCGACTAGTGCCGTCCGCTTCCGTGCGGCCCCGCGGCGACCCCAGTTTGCTTTTCGTCAATGCGGGCATGAACCAGGTAGGCATTGAGCCCCGCTGATCGGGGGCGGAGTTTGTGATTTTTACAGAGAGAAAGGCGCTGCGGGATTGGGCAAAAGATACGAAGGGCGGAGCTCATAACTTTTGCGGACAGAGGCCGGTGCATGGTTGGGCTAAGTGACTGGGGGTGCAAATTAGGATTTGGGAAGGGCTCGACCTGGGAGCTTCTGCATTGGGGTTGGGTTTTAGGTCCAGGAATAGTGGGTGTGGAGTCTCACGGAGGCAGACTGGTGGGGGAGGTCTGGCTTCATTTATTCATTACTTGAATAAAGTAATTCATTCACTAAATAAATGTTTATGGAGCACATACTGCGTGCTAGTCTAGGTTTTGACTTTGAACACCACTTACCCCTCTCTACATTATCTTCATCTGTAAAATGGGCGGGGGTGGGGTTGGGGATGGGGAGTTAACCTTACAAGCTGTCCAAGATGTCTATTAAATGCTGATATTGTGAGGTGTGCCCAGTACCTGTGGTCTCAGTTTTGTACCCTGAAGTTATTGGGTTTGGTTGAAGAAGCTGAGATGGAGGATGCAGCCACTCAGTGCTCTGTTTCCAACCACCAGTACATTCCTTCTTTTACCTTGCCTGTTTTACTAGCAGAGGGTCTCTGTTTCATGGTTTATTTACCCCTTGTCTGCTCTACACACACCAGAGGTGGGTGCCCCCAGGCTCCCAGGTTGCCCCCTTGGCCAAGACCACACTGCACTCTGAGGAGCTCAGTCTTCAGTCTGAACAGCCATCTCTGTCCCAACTCCCCACCTTTCCCTTCTCCTGGGGGACTGGGACATCCCTCTCTCCCTTCTTCATGTGTTTCCAGTTCAAGCCAATCTTCCTGGGCACTGTGGATCCACGAAGCGAGATGGCAGGCTTCCGACGTGTGGCCAACAGCCAGAAATGTGTGAGGGCTGGAGGACGCCACAGCGACCTGGAGGATGTGGGCCGAGACCTTTCGCATCATACCTTCTTTGAAATGCTTGGCAATTGGGCCTTTGGGGGTGAATATTTTAAGGTGAGTCTCCAGAAAACCCTGGAGTTAGGAAAGGATCAGTGGTTAGCCAAGAAGAGGATCAAGTTTAGTCGTGTCTCCAGTCCTAGAATCTGCTTGGTCAGTGTCTCATACCAGACAGAGGCAAAGTGCTGGATGAACATAATAGGAATGCGCCTCACTTCCCTAATTGGATTAAAAGCTCCCTTGAGGTCCAGGACTGTGCCTCCTGCCTCATGGCTGGACAGTAATTGTTCTGTGAATAAATAGACAGTAATACTAAAATGCAGTAGTTAAAAATCATTCCAGGCTAGAGTGGATAGAGGATTTCATGGAGAAGGTGAGACTTGAAAGAAAGTAGGGTTTAGAAGAGGGAGGAAGCTTTCTGGGCAGGAAAAACTCAGAAAAGAAATGGTCATGGCTTGTTCTGGAAACAAGGTGGGCAGTGGAAATGATTTCATCTTAAGTTGAGGGCTGAACTCTTGTGGCTTTAATGGCGCTTCAGTGGGGGCTTCTTCTTACCTGTCTTTCTCTTCTCACCCTCCGCGGGTTTCCGCTGCAGGAGGAGGCTTGCAGCATGGCCTGGGAACTGCTGACTCAGGTCTATGGGATCCCTGAGGACAGGCTCTGGGTTTCCTACTTTGGTGGTGACCCCAAGGCGGGGCTGGACCCAGACCTGGAGAGCAGGGACATCTGGCTCAGCTTAGGGTAAGCCCGCGCCCCATTATATCCTCTCTTGGAGGGCAAGAGAACTGGAAAATAGAGCCCACCAGCACCAGTCCTCAGAGTCTCAGCATATCCCAGGATACTGTGGGGTCACTCCTGTCCATCCTCTTGCTGAGCTTGATGGAGGGGCTCTCGTGGCAGAGAGGTTCCCGGCTTCTAGGTTTGTCTGTCTCCCTACCACCTGCCTGGCTTTCTTCCCAGGGTGCCCGCCAGCCGTGTGCTTTCCTTTGGACCACAAGAGAACTTCTGGGAGATGGGGGATACCGGCCCTTGTGGGCCCTGTACCGAGATCCACTATGACCTGGCTGGTGGGGTGGGAGCCCCTCAGCTGGTGGAGCTTTGGAATCTGGTCTTCATGCAACACAACAGGTAATGGGGTGCTGAAGCAGGAGGAAAATCCTTGGCTGAAAGTGAAAGAGGTGGCAGTGAGGAGACTTTGATCCATTTCTTATAAAAACAAAAAACTTAAATGGTGCTTATTATGTGCCAGGCACATTTCTGAACACTTTTCAGATAATAACTGATTTAATTCTAGTCTTTGCCCATGACAGTTTAAACTAGTCTCTGCTGCTCTCTGGCCTCTGCTCTTATCATATGATGGGGTTGAACTTGATGATCTCTAAGATTTTCTTCCAGCCTTGACATGTCTCTTTCTAAGGTCAAAGAATTCTGTCCCAGAAAGGGGATGTCTGGGTCCAGGCAAGGGCGCAAGCAGGGGTAAGGGTGGAGATCACCCTTTATGAGAAAAGACAGGCCCCAAAGCCATCATCATATGTATTTGGGGAGATGGGGTGATACTGCCCTCTGGTTCCTCCCACTGTCAGCCCCCTGGACCCCTCCTCGTTCCTCTGCTCCACCTGGGCAATTCCTCACACCTGTAATCCTGTGTGGGGCCTCACCTTGCACACCTTCCCTGGCCAGAGAGGCAGATGGAAGCCTGCAGCCCCTGCCCCAGCGGCACGTGGACACAGGAATGGGCCTGGAAAGGCTGGTGGCTGTGCTGCAAGGCAGACGCTCCACCTACGACACTGACCTCTTTTCCCCGCTCATCAACGCCATACACCAGGTGAGCCTGCCTATTCCCTTCCAGAAGCCCCTCTGACTCATCACCAGTGCTCATCGCTATTGCTTTCCATCTTTGTTGAGAACTCAGAGTATTCCAGCCTGTGGGGACAGTGACCAGCCAAGGATACCAGGGTGTCAAACATGAGGCTAGGATTCGTGTTTATTACCTGATATTGCCCCTAACTCCTTCCTTCATTTATTCAAAAAATATGTTGACTGCTTACTTTGTGTTAAGTCCTTTGTGCTTGGTACAGGAGATATAGCAGTAATCAAAAAGAGATCATGGAGATTACATTTTAGCCTAAGAGACAGATAATAAATAAATGTATTAAAGAACAAGATAGCAGCTTACAGATTGTGAACAGGCAGTAAACATGGGTGATAGTAACTAGGAGGGGAGAGCCTACAGAGGAATCTGAGACGAAGTGTTTGGGGAAAGCTTAGCAAGGAGATGATCTCTGGACTGAAACCTGAAGGAGGAGGAGTCAGCCACAGGAAGCTCTTTCTGGACAGCAGGTACCAAGGCCCTGAGGCAGGAAAGGAACAAAAAGTTGGCCAGCCAGCTGAAGTAGAACCACATGGGATGTAGTTAGCTTTTGATGTATAACAAACCACCCAACACTTTGTAGCTTAAAACAACAACCATTTATTTAGTATATGACTCTGTGGGCTAGCAATGTAAGCTGGGCTTAGCTGGGTCATTCTTTTGGTCTTGTATGAGCTCACTCATACACCTGTGGTCAGCTGCTAGGCAGCTCTACTTCTGGGGGTTGGCTGCCTGTCACTTTGGGGCAGTGGGGGTGATCAGGCTGGGTGTCTGTCATCCAGCAGGCTAGCTCAGACTTGTTCACATCACAGCTCGGCAAGGTTCCAAGAAGGAGAGCAGAAGTCATGAGGCCTAGGCTCAGAACAGTGTCGTTTCCATTCTGTTGGCCACAGCAAGTCACAAGGCTAGCCCAGATTCAAGGGGTGGAGAAATAGAGTCTATCCCTTGATGGGAAGCAGAGCAGCTGTACGGTCACATTGCAAAGTGGCAAGCACACAGGAAAGGGAAGGATCGTGGCCATTTTTGCAGACAATCTACTGCAGAGAGGAAGGCCGGGGTCAAATGTTGTGAGGCCTTGAGGTCCAAGTGGGGCTTTTATTCTAAGTGTGGTGAGAAGCCTTCTAAGGGGAAAGGGGCATGATCTGATTGACACTTTTAAAAGGCCGCTCCTGTTGCTGTGTGGAGGGTGGGCTGGAAGGAGACCAGAGTAGAAGCTGAGAAACAACTAGGAGCCTACTTCATAGTCCAGAGAAGAGACAGCAGGGCCTGGTTGAGGCTGGTAGCAGTGGAAGCGGGGAAAAGTAGACTGACTGGAGACATCTCATGGAGGTAGAAGCAGGGGCCCCCCTGACAGATTGGATGCAGAGGGGAAAGAAAGTAACGCTGGCTCCCAGTTTTTGACTTGAGCAATGCAGTGAATGGTAGGACTGCTTGTGGAGGGGGGCGTGGGGCTGGGGAGGAGGCAGGTTTGGAGCATTTACACCCTCCCTCCCTGCCCCATTACGGCTGTAGAGGCGGGTGGGGTAGTGGAGAGCACCCGGAGGCAGACAGGCCTGGTTCCTTCTCAGATCTGCTCCCAATGAGTGGTGTGGCCGTGTGGCACTTAGCTCCTCTGAGCCTCAGTTTCCTCTTTAAAGCGAGGATAGTAACACCTTCCAGAACAGGATATCGTTCAGGCACCCACCCAGTTCTGATAGTAGAGATTCAGCAAATGATCACAGCTCTGATCATTGTTAGTGTTGGATGTGGGCCCCAGGAGGGCGGGGACTGGCTCCCAGTCATCTTTGGAGCTTCTCCAGCCAGACCATTCCAGGTGTGGTCGGCTGTAGGGGTGAGGGCAGATGCTGTAGGGGTGATGAAGAGCATCCCATCTGGGCCAGGTCAGGCAGGGCCTGCAACCATGTCTCCTTCTCTCCTGCTTTCCAGGGTTGTGGGGCACCCCCTTACTTGGGCCGGGTAGGGGCGGCAGACGAGGGGCGCACAGACACAGCGTACCGCGTGGTGGCCGATCACATCCGCACACTCAGTGTCTGCATCGCCGATGGCGTCTCCCCTGGAATGTCAGGTGCCCCGTGAGTCCAGAGGGGCTACAGAGAGGGCAGGGCTGCTGGGGTTGCAGGGGAGTGGAGGGAAGGAGATGGAGAGGTGGGTCGGGTTGAGATGGCAGGAGGAGCGGGGGAAGGGAGAGGGCTTTGGGTGGGAGCACGCACTCTGGACCTTGTCCTCCCCACTCCCCGTACTGCTCACCAGGGGTTGCTGGGGTTCATATCTGGGTTCTGAACCCCTCTAGGCTGGTTCTTCGTCGGATCCTCCGTCGAGCCGTGCGGTTCTCTTCAGAGGTGTTGCGGGCACCACCTGGCTTCCTAGGCAGCCTGGTGCCTGTAGTGGTGGAGACGCTGGTAGGGGCAGAGCTTCCTCACTTCTCTGGGCCTCCCTGGGCACTTGGGGAGCCTGCCACTGAGCCCAGACGGTGCCCCCGGGCTGGGCTCCCCACCCTAAATGTCCAGCGCCACTTCCTGTCAGCAGGCTGGGAAAGCTGGAATTGCTCACAAAAAGCAGGGAGACTTCAGGAGGCCTCCTTGCCCAGGCTGCTGAGCCTTTGACCTTGGGACCCCTTCTGCCTGTATCCCCACTCCACAGGGAAACTGATGACCCATTTCAGTCCCTTCCCCCATCCATCAGCCCGTCTGAGCACCCAGGGTGGGTGCCCTCAGGGAGGCCCAGGGTGGGGAGGTAGAGAGCGACCTGGTGCCTTTCACACCTCCTCAGCCCTCTTCACCTCCCCCAGGGAGACGCTTATCCAGAACTGCAGAAGAGCTCAGCCCAGGTACTGGATTCGGATGGGGGAGGGAGGGGCTGGTGAGAGAGTGGTGGAGAGAGGCTCTCCCTCCTGGGAGGCTCAGGTCCAGTCCTGCTCTGCCCCCGGTTCAGATAGCCAACCTGGTGTCGGAGGACGAGGCGGCCTTCCTGGCCTCTCTGCAGCGGGGTCGGCGGATCATCGATCGGACCCTGAGGCACCTGGGGCCTTCCGATGTGTTCCCTGGTGAGTGGGGTACCTGGACAGGGTGTGAGGGGCTCACTTAGGCAAGCCGGGCAGGCAGAGGAGGGAGCTCTGGGCCAGGCCTATGCCTCACATCCCTCCCTGGCGTCCCTCTCCCTGTACTCTCTTTCCAACACCCAGACCTCTCTGTGGCGGCAACACCACCCTTCTCCCCACTTCCCCACTGCCCAGCTGGCCCTGCCTGCGGTCTCTGCTTTCCAAGGCTGGTTTCGTGCCTAGAATGAGCTTCCCTCATCCTCTGAAATGACGTATGCCAAGGGAGTACCCTGGGCTAGCGCCAGCTCTGGCCTTGGAGCATGAAGCCTGAAGGTGACCGTTCTCCTGAGCCTAGCCGGTGTGGAGAGCGGGCACTTGGCCTGGCACCTGGTGGCTTCTGTGTGGTTAGGGAAGCCCTGGCGGTTATTTCTCCCTCACTTCCTCCCCTCCCTCTATCCTGCCCCTCCCCCCTCAACACCCCTTGTCTTCCTTCCTCAAAGCTGAAGTGGCCTGGTCCTTGTCACTGTCTGGGGACGTGGGGCTCCCCCTGGACCTGGTAGAGCTGATGCTGGAGGAGAAAGGGGTGCAGCTGGATTCTGCTGGGCTGGCGCGGCTGGCCCAAGAGGAGGCCCAGGTACAGGCTGGGGCACTCCTGCCAAGGGCCCTGTTGGGACACATCAGCCCCTTCCTCAGCCCTGAGTTCCTGAGGGAGGAGCTGCAGCTGTGGAGGGGAACAGGAGGCTGAGGTATGGTCTGTCCCCTCACCTCAGGCCCCACCCACAGCCCATAGAGAGGAACGCTAGTGCAGTGGGCTAAACAGAGGAGCAGAAGGGGCGAGGCCAGCACAGTGTCCTAGAGAGGAGGCCTCCAGGGGCAGCAATGGGCGAGAGAGGCCTGATCCTGAGACCCTGCACGATGCATGGTTCACTAGCCAGCCCAGGGGCTCTAACAACCAGCCAAGCCCTGAGGGCTTATTCCAGAGGGGGCGGCCGGGTCCACACAGCTGTGTGGCAGGGACAGGGCTCTGCGGAGGCTCAAGTCCCACTGCATTCTCCGTGCAACCCTCTATGCACACACACCCCCACCCTGTCCTGCAGCGCCGGGCACAGCGGGCTGAGCCAGTTCAGGAGCAGGGCCTGCGGCTCAACGTCCATGCGCTGGGTGAGCTGCAGCGCCGAGGGGTGCCCCCAACCGACGACAGCCCCAAGTACAACTACTCCCTGCGACCCAGTGGGGCTTATGGTGAGAACCTGGATATGATTGGGAGGGACCTCCCAGATGGCTGTTACCAGCCCTATGCATTCTCCGGGGTAGCCACCTGGGGTCGCTGTGGCACCAGCTACAAGTGTCCCCCAGCTGCATGGGTATAGGCTTCAAATAAGGCACAGACCCACATCCCATGTCCCAAAGCCCTGCCTAGCACTGATAACCATTCTTCGCCCTGCAGAGTTCGGCACCTGTGAGGCCCAGGTGCTCCAGCTATATACAGAGGATGGAACAGCCGTGGCCTCCGTGGGGGAAGGCCAGCGCTGTGGCCTCCTCCTGGACAGAACCAACTTCTACGCTGAACAGGGGGGTCAGGCTTCAGACAGAGGCTACCTGGTGCGGGTGGGGCAACAGGTGAGCCTCCCCACACACAGAGGCTAACTTCAGGAGGCACATCTGAGCTGGGACAGGAGGCACATCTGAGCTGGGAAGGGAGCCAAGGGGAGGGACAGGCTGCAAGCAGTCCCTCCAGTGCCTTGGCCCCTGCCTTCCCCAGGATGTGCTGTTCCCAGTGGCCCGGGCCCAGGTCTGTGGGGGCTTCATCCTACATGAGGCAGTGGCCCCTGAGTGCCTGAAGGTGGGGGACCAGGTGCAGCTGCATGTAGATAAGGTAAAGACCCCAGCCCTGCTGTTCTGATATCCTGCAGCCCCTCTGCTCTCCCCACCCCCACCTCACCCAGGACCCTGGGTGACAGAAGTGTTTCAGGCCTGGCGTCTGGGCTGCATGGAGAAGCACACAGCCATCCACCTGCTAAACTGGGCCCTGCGGCAGGCCCTGGGCCCCAGCACAGAGCAGCGAGGCTCCCATCTCAGTCCTGAGCAGCTGCGCTTCGACGTGGCCACCCAGGTGAGCAGGGCACAGAAAGGCTTCAAGTGAGGTGACAGGCTTAAAGAGAGAGAGTCTCAGGCCGGCCCAGTGGTGTAGTGGTTATGTTCGTGCACTCTACTTCGTGGCCCAGGGTTCGCAGGTTCAGATCCTGGGTGTGGACCTCCGCACTGCTCATCAGGCCACGCTGTGGCAGCGTCTCACCTACAAAATAGAGGTAGATGGGCACAGATGTTAGCTTAGGGCCAATCTTCCTCACCAAAAATGAAAACTAAAGGAAATCCTAAGCAATGATTATAAAAAACAAAAGAGAGAAAGAGAGAGAGTCCGGTGGTGTGGAGAGTTTGGCCAGTCCCAGGGCCTGGGCTCCGTCACTGTGGGACCTTGGGCGGCTGTCTTCTTGTCAGGCTCCTCCTGCACCCGGGGTCCTCCTGACCAGAGGGGTGAGGCTAGACAGTGTCTGGAGCCCTCCCTTCACCTGCAGCCACCCAGCTTCCTTGTTCCTGCTGTCACCCCAGCCGTTCTTGCTCAAACAGCTGCCCTCTCCCTTCTCTGCCACCCTGTCTCCCTGCACATCTGGCTCAAATCCGTCCTCCAGGAAGGGCTCCCTGACTAAATTCCATTCCACTTGATCACTCCAGCCCCTGCATCTCCCCCATGCTGTATTTCTCTTCATTGGGCTGCCCCTTGTTGTAAGCTCCCTGAGGACAGAGCCTTCATTTTCTGTTTCTTCATCAACTTTTAGTGCCTAATGAAAGGCCCGCAGCTTCCAGTAGGCCCAACTCCCAGGTAGCTTTCTAAGGAAAAGAATTGTCTGCTCCACAAATGTTGATTGAGCACCTGTTATGTGCTAGCGACTGTTCTAGAACCTGAAGTTAGTTCAGTGAACATTGCGTGCTTTTAATGCATCAGCTGCAGGCATGGGGCTGACTGTGTCGGTCTGTCCATTTCCCCCCACCCCACCAGGCACCACTGACCCCAGAGCAGCTCCGGGCAGTGGAGGGCACTGTGCAGGAGGCCGTGGGGCAGGATGAGGCCGTGTACATGGAGGAGGTGGCCCTGGCCCACACTGCCCATGTCCCTGGCCTGCGCTCTCTGGATGAGGTGAGTTGGGGGAGCTCCCATGGTGGAGATCACCTACCCCCCGCAGGCCAGTTAACAGACCTGTCCCGTCTCACCCTCAGATATATCCAGACCCTGTGCGGGTGGTGTCGGTGGGCGTGCCCGTGGCCCAGGCGCTGGACCCCGCCTCCCAGGCTGCACTGCAGACCTCTGTGGAGCTGTGCTGTGGGACGTGAGTCACTCCTTCTGCCTGCCCTGGCCTGGGCCCTGGGTCCTCACCCTTCCTTGGTCTTTGGAGCCACCAGCACCTGGTTTAGAGCTCAGGCTTCTCTTTTCTCTCCCATCATCCTCCCTGACATCCTCCTCCCACCCTCTGCCCACAGGCACCTGCTACGCACGGGGGCTATAGGAGACCTGGTCATCATTGGGGAGCGCCAGCTTGCCAAGGGCACTACCCGCCTGCTGGCCATCACTGGGGAGCAGGCCCAGCAGGTTGGCATGCTAGCAGGGCCAGGAGGCTGCTGGGTGTGGATGGGGGCCAAGGGCCACACACAGCTGACACTCAGGCTGTGATGTCCAGCAGCAGAACCAGTGTTCATACACGTGCACTGATGTGGCGTACTAGCTGCTGGCATCTGGCATCTGTTGTGATTAGTTGGTGCCTTGATTAGTCCTGATTGTTAAATATTTCTAGTTTGGCCCTGACCAGCAGTGGGTTGAGAGCCCCTGTCCTGGGGACGTGAAAGTAAGCCAAGCAGCCCTGACCATCCTCTTCCCTCCCTGCAGGCTCGAGAGGTGGGCCAGAGCCTGGCCCAGGAGGTAGAAGCAGCTGCAGAGCGGCTGAGTCGGGGCAGCCGGGATGTGGTGGAGGCACAGCGGCTATCCAAGGACGTGGGACGACTCACTGATGTGAGGGCCACCCCCCATGGAGCTGCTCCCCACCCTCTCCTGGCCCTGTTCCCTTTCCATGCCTCTCGACCCTTCCAGTCTCTCCCCAGCATTCCTGGTGGCCTCCAGCTGGCCGGGATGTTTGTCGTTTGTCTGCAGGGTGGGACGTGGTGGGTGTGGTCTCTTCCGTGCCCCTGCTGGTCCCTGCCTCAGAGGCTGTGGCTCAGGGAGGGGATTAAGGCTGATGTACTCTTCTGGCCGTAGGCTGTGGACACTGCCGTGATGCCCCAGTGGCAGCGGCGGCAGCTTCAGGCCACTCTGAAGGTGCTGCAGCGGCGTGCCAACACTGCCGTCCGAAAGCTGGAAATAGGGCAGGTAAGAGGAGCTGCGGCTGCACCGTGGGGCAGACACGAGGCAAGGCCAGCAAGGGTCAGAGACACTCCAGCAGGCACACTGAGAAGCCTCAAGGCCTGGAGGGTGGGGGTCAGCTCCCCCCTCTCCTGCCCACTGGGTGCCATCACCATCTCCCACTTCTCTCTGCCAAACTGTCTCTCCCCCAACTCCCAAGTCTGGCCCAGATGCTCCCGCCAGGAGCCGACTGACTTGATTGCGCCATTCAACCCTAATTGCTCTTTCACTGCAGATCCTCCTGCCTCCCGCCCCCTCATCCCTCCGTGCTCCAGCCTTTGTCCTGTCACCCTCAGTGTCCTATTTGTAGGGGCCTGAGCTATGATGAAGGGGAAGAGGTGAGGGAGGAGAGGCAGGACGCCAGTGGGACCCAAAAGAAGGAGGCCATTCTAGGCAGAACTCCTGGTGCCTCTGCTCAAACCTGAAGACCTTTGCTTGGGGCAGGAGGAGGAGGGGAGGGGATTTCTGGACTGGGGCTCACTTCAGAAGTGGGGGCCACTTACCCCCTAGCCTGACCTCTGTGCTGTCCTTCCTGCCCCACAGGCTGCACAGAAGACCCAGGAGCTGCTGCAGCGGCACTCGGAGGGGCCCCTAATTGTGGACACAGTTTCCACTGAGTCCCTCTCAGTGAGTGTTGGGGTTGGAGGTGGCCCCAGGGTCTGGGGAGGGGAGGTAGGTGGGAGTCTGGGGAGCTATGGGGTCACCACCTGCCCTCCCTTGCCCAGGTTCTGGTGAAGGTGGTGCGGCAGCTGTGTGAGCAGGCGCCCGGCACGTCCGTGCTTCTACTCAGCCCCCAGCCCCTGGGGCATGTGCTGTGTGCCTGTCAGGTGGCCCAGGTGAGGAAGTGGGAGAGCAGCCCCCACCCCACCCATCTCCTGGTCCACTCTCTGATTCCATGCCTTTTGTTCCTCCCAGGCCAGGGAGCCAAGGCTGGGTAGAGGTGATCTGTGAGGAGACCCCAGGATGGGACTAGGGCCATCTCCTTGTCCCTAACCACCACACACTCCCCACCAGAGAAGGCACCATGAGATTCCCTAATTACCACCACTCCCCCTCCAGGCCCCCCGTCCCTTGCAAATAAGTAGCAGACATTCATCAGCCTCCACACACAATGCCAGCCTATCCTCTGTCTCCTCACCCGATTCCCCCCCACCATGTGCCTAGCTGGGGAGGGGGTGCTAATCACCATGACTCCTCTCTCAAGGGTACACTGAGTGGATGGTGGCCAGGAGGGCTGCTCTACATCACTGCCCCTTCTGTTTGTGTCCCCAGAGTGCCACACCAGCCTTCACAGCAGAAGCCTGGGCACTGGCCGTGTGCAGCCACATGGGGGGCAAGGCCTGGGGCTCTCGAGTGGTGGCCCAAGGCACCGGCAGCACTGCTGACCTGGAAGCTGCCCTCAGTACAGCCCGAGCCTATGCCCTCAACCAGCTCTGACCCAGGCTCACCCAGGGACTCACGGAAACGCAAGAGACAGCAACAGGCCACTGCCAGGAGCCCCGAAGGAGCCAGAGAACCTCCCTAGAGGCTGAAACAGGGGACTAAAGGCTGGAGGTGAAGCAGCTAAGCCAAAGAGGACCGCCCTAGGCCAGGCCTTGCATGGACACAAGGAGATATGGACTGGGGAAGGCAGCAGTGGGCCCAGAGACATACCCACACTAGGTGAATGTGAAGACATGGCTGTGACTGCTCATTAAAAAGTATTTCACAGAGGCTGGGAAACTCTAGAAGGTGCTTTTGCTTAAAAAAGAGCAGCCTTCCCCTCTCAGCAACCTGGTATGGATGCCCCATCACCAGTCTGACCCTCACACTGGGCTGGAAGGCCACCCAGCCTCCAAATCAGAAGCATCCTCGTCGCCACAAGTGCTCAGACAGGCTCTCTATGCCAGCCTGTTCTGGGCACTCACAAGGCCTCCCTGGCCACCGAGATTCAGAACTGTCATGTGAAAATCATTACGGCAGGGCAGATCCTCTCTGGTGTCACTTATGTCATTAACAATGACTTCTCATTTTAATGAAGGCGCTGGTGATTTGTTGAGAAAATAAGCGACACATACACGTCAGTTGCTGAGAATGTGGCACGAACCAAACAGACAAAGGTTCCTGCCCTGTGGAGCTTACTTGTAGTGGGGAAACAGGCAATAAAGAGAAAAAGAGGGTGTTGGACTGTGATGAGGTCTGTGGAGAAAGCAGGACTGGGGATCAGGCTCTGGAGGGCGGGGGTGGTGGTATTGCCTCAGTGAAAGGGGAGGGTGTGAGCCACACAAATATCTGAAGGAAGAGCGTTCCAGGTGGAGGGAACAGCCAGTGCAGAGGCCCTGAGGGGTTGGTGACCAGGCACAGTGAGCTGGGAGACTGGCAGGTGATGGGGTCAGAAGAGGGCTGTGGGCAGGCAGAGCAACCTTACTCTTTTTAAAACAAGTTGCACAGCACCTGCCCCAAGCCTGCACTGAAGCTGAAAACTGGCAGCTCAGAGCAGGAGGAAGCCAAGGGAGGGAGGACAGCCCTCCTTCCCTACTAGAGTGAATCCACCCAGGGCCAAGCCAGACTCTGGAGCTCCACCTCTGTTCCCAAATCTGTTCCTAGATGAGGGAAAGGACCTCAGGGGACCCATCTTCAAGTCAAAGGCTCCCTCGCCACCAAATTCTGGGTCTGTTTAGTTAAAATTATTAGAGCACAGCAGGCCCTCCTGGCATCATTTCCTGGATGACTTCTCATTCTAATTGAGGCACTGGTGATCTGTGGGTAAATCGCTGAGGGGGCCTTGCAAGAGACCCGAACCCTGCTGCCTGGCCCCTGTGCTTGCTCAGCCCTGTGGACCAGCAAAGCTTTCCCTCGGGATCTTGGCAACTGCAGCAATAGCCACATTCAGTGGTGCTCACGGAAGGCCCGGCTCTTTACACGTGGACACCAAGGTGAGGAGTTGTGGTACCTCTTTTCTTGAGTTAACCGAGCTTCTGAGATGTTAACGTATCCAGGGTATCCAACTAGTAATCAGCAGAGCTGGAATTAAAGCTGAGCTCTGCCTCTGTGTGAATCTTTCCACCTCCCTGGTTGCCTTTCCCCTCCTGAAGGACAATTTCTTTTTCTTACTAGCCAACCCCCTGAAGTTGGTCATTCCTGGTGATCCATGAGGGTCACCATATCCTGTTCCAGTGCTAGAGGGTAGGTTGACATCAGGCTTAGGGCTGTGTTAAGGAGCGCAGTGGAGCCTGGAACCTTCCTGCCTGGTGCCAGGTGTCAGCCTTGTTTACATCCTGGAGAAAGGTGCAAGGTGCCACTCCCCAGGGACACCCTCGCCCACCGCTCTCCTGCAGGGCCTGGGGTCAACAGAAGGCCTCAGGGGAGTTCCAGTAACTCCAGCGGGTCCTTTCCACCCTCATCTTCCAGAGGAGACTGACTACTGATGCTTTTCCTGTTTTGTCTTTCATTCACACCTCCCACCCCCATTTCCACACAAAAGGTACCAAGAAGGAACAGCACTCCAGTCTAGGAGCCCTGCCGGGGTCCCCCACTCCTCACTTTCCCCCACAAAAGCCCATCCATACCTAAAGGTCCGCCAAGAGCACAAAGCATGCCCCAGGGCCACAGAGTTCCACTGCCGCACGGCGGCCCCACATAGCGCGTTAGATGGAAACTTCCTTGCGTCAACCCTGTGCCAAAGCGCGTAGCGACAATCGTCGAAGGAGAGCCCCGCGTGTTTGCACGCCACACAGCTGAGACGCGGGCGCACGTGCGGGCGTACACGCGCACGTGCACAGCGGCCCTCGGCCCCGCCCCTGGCGACGCGGGGCGTCCCTAACGACCGGGAGGCCGCGCGGGGCCTGCGGGAAGGCGAGCGCCCTGGCACTGGGAGCTGGTGAGACAACTCCGGGAGAGAGGACGCTCAACCCCGGGTCTCCCCTGGGACTGACCTCTTCCTGCCCCCACTCCTGGCCGCGGGGCGCGGAAGCCCCTCCAGCGCCATCAGCCCACCCGGCCCTCAGCCCGCAGGGGCCACAGCCTGGGCTCCCACATTCGTGTGGCGGGGAAGGGCCGGTCTGTACCTCCAGGAGGCTCCCACCCCACCCATTTGGGGAGGGACCCGGGCCCCCCAGCGCCCTCCCCCGCTACCCTCACTGTCTGGAAAGTGGTGCAGAGGCTTAGGGTTTGCGAGTAAAGGGAGGGGGACCGTGAGAAGGAGGAAGGGGAAGGTCGTGGAGGAGAGCAGTCCTAAACTGGGGGTCGCAGTCTCCTAAGAAAGGCTGACCCCCATCCCTAGCTCCTCGGGCTGCAATTCCTCCTGCAGGTCCGGAAGCCCCTGCACCTTCCCTCCCTCCCACAGCAGGGAGGTGCAGCCTTGGTAACCGAGGTACAGCCAGGGCTACTTCACCACAGGTAGGCTGGGGGAAGGACTCGCTGGCCTTTGGAGCTGAGCTTCCCTGCTGGGGGATCCGAGCTGAAGGTAGGGGTGAGGGGTGGAGAGGGAAGCCGCTGGAGTCCCTTTTAAGACAACAGACCTAAGTGGGCAGGAGTTGGGAGGAGGGCCAGGCCCATGGGTGTGATAAGTGTGCTGACTGTCCCATTGGGTTAAAGACCAGCATGCTGGGCCTGGGATCTGTCAGAGAAACTTTTTGCCCCTCTTTTGTGACTCCACAAACTGGGAATTCCCAAATGGGAATTTGGGAGTGACTTGGCCTGAGGTAATGTCTGACATGGTGGGCGTGAAAGAGATCAGAGGAGATGTAGACAAAAGCCCCCGGCCCTGGGACAGACGCCTGGGGAGGGCTTTCCTTAGGTCATTTTGGGGTGAAGAAGAAGCTGGCTGAGAAGGCAAAGGAAGCTCAATCAGAGAGGTGGGTGGACAGCAGGCTGGGGGGTAGCCCATCAAAGCTGAGCCAGCCCAGAGGGAAGCACCCAGGGACACAGAGGTGCTCACGGCCTCAAGAGGGCCAGGCACTTCAGCTTCTCAGTTAAGAGGAAGGGAGGTGAGGACAGTTGAGGGCCAGGGATGTGGTGAGCAGGAAGGGGAGAGGGCTCCTCCCCAGCATCTTCAACCTTTCCATTTGGGCAGATGAGAGGAGCCTCTGTCCAAAGTGGTTAGATTTAACTGGAGACTTGAGAAGGGTGGAGAAGATCTGAGACCTCCTCTGAGAGGAGGGAATGTGCTAGAGATTCAAGCATTGACTCCTAGGTCTGTGACAGCATGGGGGGCCTGGCATGAGCCATGCATGGGGCAGGAGAGCACAGCTCTGCAGTATTCTCTTGGGTCCCCATGGGACCTCCAGTCAAAGGATACAGGCGATGATCCAGTTCTGCGGAAGGACCCCGCACCTGGCAGTGACTTAGGGGGACTCTGGGCTGTTTAGGTCAGCACAAAGGGGTAACCCTGGGCTCCATGATGGTGATGTGACGAGCATCCTCATGAGCTGGAGAAAGTGGGAGGCCCACTGGAGAGGTGCAGTCCGACCGAGTCAGGGGCAATTTAGGAAGAAACCTTAACATCTCATTATTTGTCCATGCTTTTGTGATGGAAGTAAGGGAGAGCATTGGACAGTCATCAGCTCAAACCTCAGCTTCTCCGCTCACTAGCTATGTGGCTCTTAGCAAGTGACTTAAGCTTTCTAAGCCTCTGTTTCCTCATTCATGAAATGGGGATAATAGTGTTATAACAGTAATAATCCTCAATAATAAATCTGAAGATTTAATGAACTTTCGTAGGTAAGGCATCTAACATCTTCACATAGTTTGCATGCTGGCTCTGGGCCCAGCACTATATGAAATGTCTCACACACATTAGCTCCTTTAATCCTCTGGATAATCTTATGAAGTAGGGACCATTATTTACCATCCCCATTTTACAGATGAAGAAATGGAGGCTTAGTGGGATTAAATGACTCGGCCACAGTCTCACAGATGCTTGGGGGCAGAGTGGAGAGTTGACCTTAGGCGGTATAACTCCTGATTCCTTAGTGAGCTGCTCGGCTGCCTCCTGCTGTGCACGCACTATTGAGGGCCTAGTACTCAATAAATCGTAGCTGTATATAGGCAAGGGTATGGTTCCCAGAATACTTGCCCCCAGACACAGGCCATCAAAAATGAAGACAACCCTGGCCAAACTGGGTCTTCCCGTCACTTTATATGACCTGTGCTTGGGCATGTAGAGAGCAGACCTTAACACCTAACCCTTTGAGTTATGGCCTGAATGTGATTATGGCCTGGTCCTGAAGACACAGAGTGGGGACCTGGGGGAAGGAGGATTGGCCTTTCCCAAGGATTGTGGTCCTGGATTGGGTTAGGTTGATGCTGGAAACATAGCATGTGAAGCCCAGCAGGCCCGTGAGACAGATGCCAGGAGATGAAAGCTCACTGGGCACATCCCCACTTTCCCCATCTGAGGGCAGGCTGTGCCCTTCGATGGGGACACCAGGTGGTGGCCCAAGAGGCACTCACTCCTCATGGCCCGGACCTTCTCTCTGGAATGTCACAGAGGATTCCTGCCCTGGAGAAGGACCAGAGTCTTGAACACACTTCCAGTCTTCAGACTCTGGGATTCTCTGACTGCCTCATGGGTTCCCCAGGGAGAGGGCTCCAGAAAGGAAGGTGACTGCTCTGCCATTTCTGGGGCTGCCCTCTAAGGGCCCTTGGGGGCTGTCTGGGTGCCCCTGGGCCCCTGGCTACCCTCCCCACAGGCTTCCAGGGAAGATAGTGCCACCTACCACCACCCTCAGCT